TATTTATTGAACACCTACTAGGTCCAAGGCCCTGAGCTAGGTCCTAGTGGGACACCAGGTCATATGAGACGCCTCAAAAGAACCATTCCTAAGGATTAAAGAAGTATTTACCTTGATGAGACAACAATAACAAATGACAAACACATACACACCAATAAGAATTTCTGGGTGCTTCTCCATTGGATGTTGTTTTGTTACTAAGTGATCCAACAATTTCTTCAGAAAATTTTTAGGGCAAAGCTTAAAATAGTAAAAATAAAATTAGATTATAAAATTGGTTATTAATGATATACAGTATGATTCCATTGAATATGTATGAAGTTCTAGAATAGGTAAAGTTAATGACAAAGTAAAAGAAAAAGTTACAGGTGAGACTTTGGGAATGCAGTAGTGTCTGTAGCTGCATATTGAATACCTCAGATGCAACAGCTTAGAATAACAGACATCTGTTACCACACAGTTCCGTGAGTGGGAACTTGGGAGTGGCATAGCCCAGTGGTGGCTGGGCAGGGTCTGGACAAGGGCCAGGGCTGCCGTCAGGGAAGGCCTGACCGACGGAGGCTATGGGTCCCGGCTTGGATGGCTGTCTCCGTGGCTGCTGGCAGAAGGTCCTCCTGGTTCCCTCTTGGCTCTGCTTGCCCCATGGTGGCCACTCCACCGAGCTCCTTTTGTTCTCACACTTGGGCAGCTGGCTTCCCAAGAGTCCTCTGAGGGGCCGGGAATTTAGCTTAGTGGTTTCGCTGCCTGCGTCACAAGTGCAAGATCCTGAGTTCAATCCCCGGTACCAAAAAAAAAAAACAAAACTGTACCCAAGAGTCCTCCAAAAGACAGCCAGTGGAAAGTGGCAATGCCTTTCCACAAAAGATAAACCCTACACTCTGCACAGTACCTTGAGTCCCCTGGTCAGCTTTCTTCAGTATGGGAGGAGACTGAGCAGGGTGTAGTCCCAACACGTGGAGATCACCACAGGCCACCTAGAAGCTGGCCACCAGGAGAGATAGAAGGACATTTGGAAAGGAACACGAAGAACTTCCTGGTGAAATGGGAATGTTCTGTGCAATGATAAGTATGTGGTTGTACATTTAAGTCAATGAATATACATTTTTCATATAAAAGAACTATAAATAAACATAGTAGTCAGGGCAGGTGGAGAGAGGATGGAGGTACAGATGATTCAGGAATGGTAGACTATTGGTAATTACTGAAGCTGGATGGATTGGCACAGGTGTATTAGATTAAAATATAATTTGTAAAACAGTTCAGAGGGTCATTTAGAATCAGAAAACTAAGGAGCCATGTGTTCATATTTACCCAAGGATGCACTGAAACATTAGCTAGGCATGGTGGCACCTGCCTGTAATCCCTAGTATGGAGGCAGAGGGCTGAGGCAGGAGGATCACAACAAGTTTGGGGCCATTAAACTTAGTGAGGCCTGGCCAACTCAGTGAGATCTTGTCTTAAAATAAAATTTAAAGAAAGAGCTGGGGCTGCAACTCCATGGCAGAGCACTTTCCTACCATGCATGAGGCACTGGGTTTGAACCCCCAGTACTGTGATAAATAAATGAATGAACCAGCTTTTGGACTTGATATTCATGGAGATTTGTCAAAGTGGGCCACGCTGCCTTATGAAGCTATATGTGTGCGTATATTTATATCTGTATACCTGGTGTGTGTTGCAGGGAGGGTTTCTTGTTGACTTTGGGTCATAATCATGTATGGTTATTATTATGGCAGAGTAAAAAATTTCGGGCTAGGGTTAAAGTTAGGATAATCACACCAACCCTAGTTATGATTATAATTCCTTTGAATACATGAAGTAAATAGCCATAATGTTTTTCTGGGACCCCATATTCACCAACATCTTCATCAGAAACATATTTTTAATATAAATAGCCTACATGCCAATAACTAGATTCCCTACCTTTTAACATTGTTCCTACTTCTCTCTTAGTGTAGGCTCCCCTAGACCTGCTTCCACACTTCTGTCTGTCAAGTTTCTTGGGTTACACACTTTTTGGGATTCTGGAACATTTGAATCATGGTGTGATGTCATGCCTAAGAAAAGGACTGGACTACCCTTACAAACTTAGCTCCAAGCCTGCTCTCGTTTGCCAAAATGTCTAAGGACTGAGAATAAAGCACTAAAAATGCCAAAACCTAGGAGAATTAACACATTGATATGAATAAATTTTAAAATTTAAATAATTGTCTTAGGTCTTTGTTTGAACCAAGGGAGAGTCTCAGAAAACTAGTTAAGGAACTGAGGGCTAAGGAAGAATTTGACATTGAAAAATGGTAAACAAATGAAAGACGCCAGAGAGAGAAACACTTCCCAGCATGTCACCAGTACTTGGCTCCTTTATCAGTTAAGGATGGACCAAGTTACAGGGCAAGTGAGACTATCTATCTCGTTTGCTCAGGTCTGAGCAGTGGCCAAGGACTCACAGGTGTTCTAGGATGGGGCATTTTCAGTGCTAAAGCAGCAAAGTCCTTGGCAAACCCTGGGTCACCCAGACTGTATTTCATGCCCATTGTGGCTTCAAGGCTGCCCATCTTAGCTGGAAATCAGCTTTCAGAGTCACAGTCTGAGGACATCTTTCATGATACAAAGGCATCATGAGACACTTGCTTCTGGTTATTGGAGCCCATGCTGCCTGATTTTTGGTCTTTACTGTGAATGGACAGAAAGCAGCTGACCCATAACCTAATATTTTAACCTTCAGTGAAAGACTAATCAGAGTCACGTGCTGCAGGAGCACATCTTGGCCAATGGCAGACCACATGTATGAAGATGGCCCCATAAGGCTTTAACACCTAGTGATGTCAAAGCTGTCTTAATCTGTCTAAGTACATTCCATGATATTCCCCAAAAGCATGTTTCCTAGAATGTATCTTGGTCAGTAAACAATATATGACTATATCCCCAAATGGATAAATAATTAAGTAAACTGGATGTAATTAAAGCGGTTAGTTTCTTCATGGTTTAAATGGTATGATTTGATTAATGATCTTAAAATAATAAAACAGATGTTGAAATTTTTATAAATAAACTATTCTGTCACTGGTTATATTCAATATTTATTTTTGGTCAACAGGTACCAAGTTTTTCTTTTCCTAGCTTTCTAATAATAAAATAATGAGCCAGGGCTAGGGGTGTAGGTCAATGGTAGAGTTCATGCTCAGTGTGCAGGAGGCCCTGGCTCCATCCCCAGCATGATAATAACACTTTTAAAGCAGGAACCTAGGCTTTAAGATAAATTAAGCTTCATCATTATAAAAGAGAATAAAAGAGATAAAGTAAGATCAAAACCAAAAAAGTGCTGTTATAAACAGGAGCCTGGGAAGAAGCAGACCCAACCAAGGTGTGGCTATGACCAGGTGAAATGTCTTGTTGACTTACACATGTGGCAATTCATTGGACATCACTTCAACCAGCTGTGAGAGCTTAGTCACTTTCAAAGCTAAACTGAGGACCTTCTACAAGCCAAGTGCTATGCTAGGCCACATCTACACCTACACCCCCATGAAACAGTTTTTGACTTATAGAATTCACAGTTTGGCGGAGACAAGCCCTTAGTTGTGGTGGCATGTTCAAAATGTTATGAAGCATAGAAGAGGAGGCTTCTGCTTGAGTGATTTGACCAATGAGAAACCCAAATCAGGAATGTTTCTCAAGGCAGATGATATGAATCAGGCAGTAAGAGGAGGTAGTGAAGGGGGTGTCCATCGCAGGACCCAGTGTGCACATCGGCAAGGAAGCTTATGAGCCTGTGGAATGGAAGAGGCCAAATGGGGATCAGGGAGACATGAAGGAAGCTGGACAGATAGGTTAAGAATACATGGTCTAGTGTGAAGGGCAGTCTAAATAATGAAGAGGGGAGGAGGAGAGGAGAGGAAGGAGGGAAGAGAGGAGGGAAGGAGGAAAGAAAGGAAAAAAGGAAGAAAGGAAGGAAGAAGAGAAGGAAGGAATTTAAATAGTTGAGTTCATATTTTTATGAAAACTTTTAAGAAAGATAATAAAATTGTTACTATGTATGGAAGTCTGCAAGAAAGAATACAGGGACAATTGGCTAAATTACAGGATCATCCAGTTCCTTTGGATTTTTAATGTAAGGTATCTGTCAAGTAAGGAAGATGTATTGGCAAGATGAATGCTTGACTTCTGGGGTCGATTTCTTAAGTATAAATATTGTTCATAATATCATTGGCCTAGCTACATAACATAATCATGTAATAGGATGTACTCTTGTTGTCACCACTGCCCTTCTCCCTTCCCTGCAATGAGCTCCATCAGCTGCCAGGATCCCTCTACTCTTGCTCTGGAGACTCCAGCCCTTCTCCCCCTGCCTAGCAGTGCTTGATTCAGGATGAGTTTAGAAACATACTTAGTCTCCTCATCCATGGACCCTTGCTGTGCAAAATGCACAAGCAAATGAACACAATCTATATCTAATTGCTCCTTTATCTACAAAGCCTACTAAGCCTGGATTGCAAAAGAAGATCAAATGTTCCTTTGTTCAGATTTCAGTAGCACTGAGTTTGAGCAAGTCAAGTGCTGTGGGCTGCTGCTGTTTGACTTTCTGTTCACTTAGCACTGACCAAGGCTTTCCACATTTTTGCTTTCTTTGTTTCCATTCCTTCTCTCCCATGTATTGTGATTTTTAAAAATTAAAAAGGGAGAAACTATGAGAACAATGCCATACATAGATAGGAAACTAAGACTAACTGAATTGCTGAGCTAATACCTACGAAAGTATCTGAATTCTAGTGGAAATGATCTCCTCACTCCTAACTCTGCTTTTGCTTAATAGTTCAGATTTCCAATTTTCACATTTTCTCTCTCAGGAATGATGGTAGCATTCTTTTTGGATCCCTTGGCAAGTACTGTTACCCAATTCCACTTGACCTGGTCTTGGAAGTGTTTCCACTGACATCTCCTTTGACATCTTCTCACCTGACACCTTCTCATCTGACACTTCTCATCTGACACCTTCTCACCTCTCCTTTCTCATCTTCTCACCTCATCTTCTCATCTTCTCAATGTAGGTAGAAGGGACGAAGCTGGAGAACAGATTGATCTTAATCATCAGAATCACATTCTGGGGCAAGAAGCTCATCTGTGTACATTAAAACACAACAAGGAGGGCCAGGGATTTAGCTCAGTGGTTCCACCGCCTGCCTCGCAAGCTAAGGACCCGAGTTCGATCCCCCATACCAAAAAACCCCCCCCAAAACAAAAACACAACAAGGAACAGTGGGACTTTGGAAATGCTCAGCACATTCCCGGACCCCTGTGTCCTCGTCTGTACAATGAGATATTAAGAAGACCATGTCCAAATATCTTTCAGTTCTGATCAGACCCTCTGCCTCTACTGTCCACTGCTGACTGTCTTCTTCACAAATGAATAAGGGAAAGTTGTATACCTTGCGAGGTAGCAAGCTATTATACAGGATGTTATAGAGTGTACACTATGTCCTGGCCATTTTATACTCATTGCTCCCTTTAATCCTATAAAAACACTACAAGGTTTTATTAACTATACACAAAACAAAACAGAGAGGTTTAGCCAGTTTGCCTGAAACTTATAGTTAGTAAATGATGGAACTTGGAATCAAATTCTGGTTTTTCAGCCTCCAAATTTATGCTCTTTACATTATCACACTGCCCATCACAAAACTGAGTGTAACCAATGCGCACACTGGCAAGGCCAAAACTTCTCTTTGCACCCTCAGCAGCACAGAAGATATGTTCAAGTGCTCAAATTTCTCAGTAATGTATTAGAAATTGAGAACACCAATTAAGACATTTTAGGCTCTTGTACATATAGGACAAGACAGAAATCAAACTGAGTCCATAAAGGAATTGGGAATTCAGGGGAGATGATAATTATTCTGTGCTGCGCTGGGGTTTTCTGCATGGCTTTACAGGGGGTAGAACTTGAAATTATGAGATGTAGAAAAAATGTCTTTGTACATGCAGAACAAAGGCTCACATATTATTGAGGTATGTCCAACTACACATAAGATAAAATACAATTCAACTTGGTTTAAACAATGAGGAACACTTATTGTGTCACATACCAAGAACTCCTAAAGTCAGTGGCTTCAGGACTGGCTGACATGTGCTATAGCATGCCGTATAGCATCGCCACTCTGGTTTTCAGATCCTCTGTCCTTCTACTCCTAGTTCCATCATGGTTGAAGGAAAGCTCCTGAAGTCCCTATCAAATGTAAACATAACCACACCCAGTAGGATTGCTTCTTCCCATAAATTTATCTGAAAGAATAAGGAGATAATCCTAGAGTCCCCAGCACACTTCCCTTTATGTTTATTTGTCAGAATCAAGATCTGTGCCTGTGCCTAGTGTAACACCAACGGGACCAGGAGGACCACCGCAATGGGCTCAGGCCGATCAGGTCAGAGCCGCTCTTCTCTGAGCCCCATGTGGGAGAGCTGGGCACCCGGCAGAACCGGAGAAGCGCTGCTGGGAAGACAATGAGCATCTGCTGTGTCTGTGTACCCTGCCATGTAGAAAGCTATTACACATGACACCATAGAGTTGCACTGTGTCCTGACATACAGGGTCGGGAGGGGACAATCCTTTGCTAGATTGTACTCACCTGAAGTACTGCTGGAGACAAGATAAGGTCCACAGGTATCAAACCTAGGTGAGAATCTCTAGAGCTACCTAGAGAAAATCCAGAAGGAAAAATAGAAGGAATAAAACAATGCATCTTTGGCCTAACAGAAAGATGCTACACTACTTCCGTTCCATCCCTGGAAAATAGTCAGTGTCAAAGGATTTTAACTGCATTTCTAGTCTGTCACAATCATTATTCTACTTATTTTTAAAATAGTCCTTAAAATTTTCTCGTTTTTTTCTTCATTTTCCAAATTGCTGTAAACATCTAATGCATTGTCAGCAATCTTCTTGTTCCTGTACCATTGGCGATTTCTTTCATGCCTAACTGGTTGTTTTCTGACCACCGGGCAAAGAGCTCCTCCAAATGTAAGAAGCAGAAATGTAGACTGGGGCTGAGGGTGGTAATGTGCATCTGAAGGCCCCTGGGACTGAGCTTTCCCTCTCCCCAAAGGAAGGAAGGGTGAATGACAAACATAGAACTGGCTAGACAAAAAGAAAAGTTTTTTAAATCCAGCCTTGCTAGCAGGAAAGGATCATTTCTTCAAAATCAGAAAATCTCAAAGCCAATAAGTAGAGGAAGAAATACTTAATGATAACTAGTGTTTACTGAATATGCTATGCCAGGCACTGAACTAAGTGCGCACTTTTCACATATTAACTTATTCATTCCTTATAGTGACCCCATGAGTTGGGTAGTAGGTCTTCGTCTGTAACATGGGAATAACTGAGTTGGTGAGCTGTTCAATAATATTTTTAAGATCACACAGTGGTAAGAGGCAGGTCCCAGATTCAAACTCAAGTAGTTGGGTCAGGTACTCCCCGTTACTGCCTCCTTGTTAGAAGGTACTGATTGCACTAACGTGTGAATACTCACTAAATGTCTGGCCTTGTGCTAAGCACTTTTCAAGCATCATTACATTTATTCCTCATAGCAACTGTGCAGGGTGTTAACAATACCACTTTGTAAGTAAAGAAATCCAGGCTTGGAGAGAAATATGTAATTATGAACATATTTATTAACATTAAATATTAAACAATTACAAGTAAAATTAGTGTTTGACAGAACTAGGACCCAAATAACTCTGACCCAAATAACTCCAAAGCCAATGCCCTTGATTGCTGAAACAATGGAAATTGGTGAATTTATAGATTTAGGGACCAAGTACACTATCCAAAAGCCACAAGAACAAACAGATATTTATCTGTCACTGTAATAGGTACTTAACATCATCATCTCCATTCATCTTAGCTATTAACTTTTTGGGTAGAGGCAGCACTTCTGAAAATTTGACATGAAGTTAGGTATTAATTATTCTTGTTTTTATTTAGAATAAAGATACATAAGCATGGTGCACACCTGAAATCCCAGCACTTGGGAGACTAAGGCAGGAGGATCACAAGCTTGAGACCAGACTGTGTTACATAGCAAGACCCTAAAATATTAATATTTTTTTAAACTCTTAAAATGTCTTTAAAAAAAAAAAAAAGAGGCATAGGATGGCTGAGTCTGAGGTAGTCTCTGCAATGGATTCTTGAACAGCTTGTTACATTTTCTGAGCTCAGCTCCTCCGTCTACAAAGTAACATAAGGCCTAAATGATACAACCCCAAGAGCAAGAGAGCCCCCTTAGGGATTTCTGCAGTGTATGACTGAGGAAGAAAACAAGTCCCTACTCCTTGTGGATGGAAAAGTTCAAAATCAGTCAGCTCACAGAACCAGACAGAAAGAAAGAGATTTTTGTTTTATCTTTGCTTCTCTCAATTCCTGCTCACCTGGCCTGCCTTACACCCTGGGTCCTCCTCACCTGCTGACTAGGGTGACATGCCCCTAGGAGAACTGTCATCCATCCCTTGCACATCACGCCCACTGTGTTCTTGTCATGTATCTGTGCACCCTTTCGGCTTCCTTGATTGGTCCTCCTGGACTCCCTGGACTCAGGCTCAGGCATTCAGCAAATACCCAGGGCTCCAAATGTGACAACAAAGCTGCTTTCCCTCCTGTTCACCTCTTATGGAGAAGTCATCTTAAAGGAAAAGTCAAGTCTTGTTCCTTATAGGTGTCTCCCAAACATGCTTGAAGATGCAAACACTGAGGCACTTACTGTCAGAACCCTGCCCTGAAGGTTCCAATTCAGAAGGCCTGTGATGGGGCTTCGGGAATCCACGTTTCCACAAATGTACCAGTTTTTATTATCGGGCCAGGTGTGAAAAATGCTTATATAAAGCATAAGGAAGTAATTAGACGTTGTAAGTGTAGCACAAAAAAATTTAATATTTAAAAACCTAAAGAACCTTATAATCTATTTGGGGAAACAAAATCCACATGCCTAGAATGATTGTCAATGCCTGGTAGAGTGAATGGGTGTCAACCAACATGTTAGACTGTACAAATACATAAGACCAGAATAAGTTCAGAGAGAGGAGGCACCTCTTCGCTGTGGTCAGAAGTCAGACATAGCTGATGCTCTCACAGCCCCAGAGGACATGAGTGAGTATGAGGAACACAGAGGGGGCAGCACGGAATGACAGGGACATCAGAGAAGACTGCCTGGAGCCATGGGTAAGGCTGAAAAGGAACGGGTATGATTGTGACAGCCTGGAATTCCAGCTGGGCCCAGGATTCAAGTTGAATTTAATACTGTGGGGAATGAGGAGTTCTTCAACATTTGTGAGCCAGAGGCAAATGATGAAACAATGTCTTCAGCAGGTGGATTTCCCTGCTGTTTCTCAGCAGGAACTCTTCCAGAGTTTGTTAAAATCTAACTGCTGGGCCCCACCCAGAGTTTCTGATTCAGGAGGCCTCAGATGAAATCAGAGTTTGCATTTCTAACAAGTTCCCAAGTGATAATGGTGCTGGCCCAGGGATCACACTTGGAGAATTCATGTTGTATTTACTGGGTCAAAGACCACCACAAAGACTGAGGCAGACGGCTGGGGGCCAGGACAGGGTTAGCATGTGAAAAACTAAAACAGAGGAACAGGAAGGAATCAGTGAAAGAAACTGGTATGTGATTGTAATGGGTATGGGAAAACAGGAAAAGTGGGAGATACCCAAGAGTCCAAACTCATGGACCAAAATGGCAAGAAAAAAGGGGAGAAAGACGGAAGCAGGCCCATCCAGGAGAGGAGTCAGTCTCCGTCACAAGGGAGCACTGTTGCACTGAACCCTTCCGGCCGTGTTTCATGCTGCCTCTGATCACAGAAAATCAAGCAGAAAGAGCAGCTGGCAAAGACAATGAAAGTGGATGCTGGCGGCAGTGGAAGGTCTTCCAAGGGTACAGGGCACCTCGTGCTGGACAACATCCCCCACTAAACTGACCCACTTACGTGCCCAGCCTGGCCTGAGCCCCGTGGCACTGTTTCAAGTCAGCCATTTACACACACTCACACCCAAACCAGAAATTCCTGCTTAGGACCAGAAGCACAGCTATTGTCGCTGCCACCCTACACCCACCCTGGAGCTGGGCACTGTGAACCCTGACACCCAAATTTGACGCCCAACCTGGAAAACAGGAACCCTAGTATTTCCTGTCTTGACCACAGGGCGGACCTTTCCAGCCTGTTGGAGACTTTGGGCAAGCCTATGATAGCAGAGCAAGAGGACCACAGGCACCAGGCAGAATACCTAGTTATTGCTGAGAGCCGTGGTGTCTGCACTGGGTGCTAGGCAACTCAGCAAGGCTCTTTCAAAACAAGACTGAAAAACTAATGGGGTGTAGCTCAGCGGTAGAGTGCTTGCCTAGCATGTGAGAGGCCCTGGGTTCAATCCCCAGCACAGCAAGACAAACATGGCCTTTCAATGATTGGAAGAAAAAAAAAAAGACATGACAGAATTCCCAACGTCATTACTAAACAGGAAAATCAATACTATGTTCTAATCGTGAAATAGTAAAAATGCTCAAATTCTGACATTAAGTCATTGTAAGAGATGTAGATTAATAAGCACTCTTATACTGTCATGCTGGGAGTATAAATGGGAACATTTTAGAGGAAGCTTTTTCATTATTTCATAAATTTAAATAATCATATAACAGTGACTTCGCAATTCCCCTTCTAATTATAAACCATGGAGAAACTTACACACATGAACCAGAGACACGGCAAGTGTGTTAGTATCATTTTTAAGAAATGGAAATAAAAACTGCAGCTGGGCATGGTGGTGCACACCTGTGATCCCAGCACCCGGGATGCTGAGGCAGGAGGATGGCCATGAGTTCAAGGCCAGCCTGAGGTACACAGTGAGACTGTCTCAAAACACCAAAAAACACAGAAATAAGAATTGCAAACCACACAAATCTCCATGGACAGGAAAATAGATAAAACTGATAATTATAGTATTATAATATATGGCTTTATAGAATAGATTATAAAATATGCCTATGAATAAAACTTTATTAAATGAAACTGACTGAATATTGAGTTCTAAAAGGAAGTCCTAGAAGAATATACACTCTAGTAGCTCTATTTTCTTTTTATTCTATTGCAGTGTGTCTTGAACCCAAGCCCTCTGCACAGAGCTACATCCCCAAAACATCCTTTAAAATAATTTTTTTTTGAAAGAGGGTCCTATTACATAGTCCAGGCTGATATTGACTTAGCAAGACCCTGTGTCAAAATTTAAAAGAATGGCCAGGGTGGTGGCACACACTTGTAATCCTAGCTCTCAGGAAGCTGAGCAGGATTGCCACAAGTTTGAGGCCAGCCTGGGCCACATAGTGAGTTCAAGGTCAGCCTGAACTACACTGTGAGACCTTGTCTTAAAAACAAACAAAAAAACACACACACAAATGAACACCTAGGTCTGAAGTAAGGGATCCACTTCTAACAAACATGGCCAGACATGAAGAAATGTTTCTTCCAAGGTCACCTTGCAAAAGTGCTGTGGGCTCCGTCTGGGTGTCTCTTGCTCACTGGCGCACTCAGGTGGCCTTATGAAGAAACCTGTGAGGGAAAGGGCTGGAGCAGGTGCCTGGGCTGCAGGCAGCCTTCAGACTGGACCGCACCCTGCAGCAGCTGGATGTAACCAGAGGGTC